AAGAACCTTGGGAACATGATCAGTTTACAAGTGGCCACAATGTTGGTATGTTCACATAACCAATACTGTGTGACACCCAAAACCAACAGTTAACGAATTGCAACATTCCAATGTCTAAACATACGCATCCGGACAATGCAACTAACCAGTAAACATGTAATAAGTTTACAAACAAAACTGCTTGTTAGCCTATATACATACCAGGAGGGCAACGACGCAAACGGTAACTTTATCTAGTTTTTGGTAAAATTCTCGCACTGACCCCATAAGTGTGTTCAGAATTGCTTCTGTCCAATCATACGTTTGCACTGTGTCCAAGTTATTGATGTAGCGCACAAACCCGACATTGAAAAAAAAAAGCTTTCCACAAAAATAAAGACACAGCAGTTTTGCCGTGTCTTCCTCGTCACGAACCGATCTACCTTTGACAGCATAATCAAGCAACTTTTTGATCAGATTTGCAATTATTCTCCCTATGCCATCACCCTGTTGCTAGATGAAATCTGAAGCCGGCCTTGTGCCTGGAGTTAGGTCGAGATGTTGGTCTCCACACTGCAATCCAAACACCAACCTAATGTCTACATTCCTAATCTTCACTGGACAACCGCCAATGTAGAACGCATCGTCCCATTTATTGAATGTCCTCAAAATCTTCAACACAAGATTGTCACACTTCCTATACTCGTTCCAATCCGGTTTGTTAATAACAATGGCTTCAAACATGAGCTAAAATGGTGTCTTTCTCAACCGCCGAAAGTGTCCATCATGCAACCCCAACTCGAACACCACCTTAATAACACCTGCCATGTTCGACTGGAAATTGATACGATGTGTCGTCTTCTTGGGTGTCACTCATTTCTGTGCGACATTTTGAGGGGGTTTGAACAACACACGACCCTGCATTTTCACGCTTAACTTCGACGATGACGGGACGAGCATTGTATCCAACCATTTACGTTCACATGACCTAGTCCACGGGCTCCTCATCCGTGCAACTTCTGCATATAAAAGCACAACGTTAGTAACTAAAATTCATGAACAGTTGTAATATGATACATTGCCTCTATACCAATAGCAACATTTTTTTTAGCCTCCTAAATTGTTCACACACACCCATCATAATACGTCACGATAAAGCAACCCCTAAACCCTACAATTGATATACACAACATCACACACCAACAACTCAAACAACAAATTATGCTACAATATTAGTAAAACATGTGTCATGCATGACTGCCATCCAAATTCGACCCACATTATATCTTAACATATTAACTAGGGGCGTGGGGGCAGGAGTCCCAACATTTGTCTTCAAATGCCAAAAGTGCACCCACACATACACATTTTATGAACACACATAGACGGACAACAACCACACAACCTACATACCAACTACCATTCAACAGTCCACACACAAAACACACACACATACAGACAAACCATGAATAAACTCACACAGAGGGTAATAAACAACCCAACCAAGATGACATTCACACATCACACATATACGCTTGATACACAATGGGACAAACTAACTCACACACTATTATATACAATATATATGCACATTTACAGCCCACCGTTAACACCTCACCAACATAAGGATTTAATAAGAACAACTTACGATTGTTCGTCATTATAACAGGGTCACAGATTAGTGCCGTTAGTCCACCGTCATCACACCAACAACCCTAATCGTCGCCCACAGAAAACCCTAAAATTTCGTCTCCAGCCCCTAAACCCCAAACTACAACGCCCACCCAACAACAACGTAATCGTATTCTTCACTTACATCATTCAGATCCAAAACACCAAATCTCAAAGATTAACACAGCAATTCAAAACCTGATCACACCAACTACAACAACAAGATTATAGGGATTTGACGACATCATGTTCCGGTGATTGAATAATTCAATTGGGGATTCCATAAAACACAAATGGTATCGACATACGAGTTAGGTTGACGTAATCTGGTTAGATTTTCATCCCGTCACACACGTAGCAACCAATACAATCTACTATAGCCCTTTTCCCAATGTGACACCCAAACTCGTCCCACTTCCTACGGAATACCAACACCCCATGGCCCACTAACATTCAAGACGATGGCACGTTAGTAAACACACATGAAGTAGGACTAATCAGACTACAAAATATCTTTTAGGACTATTTGGAGCACCTTTTCACATTTTAGGATTTATCCGTAAGTCTCCCTTTTATAATAACTCTAAAATTAAATATGAAAAATTACACAAAAAATGTTTGAGCTTGAATCTTATAATAAAATAAATTTTGATTTTATAATTTTATTAATTCAAATCTTAATATTTTGATTTGTTTTTAATATAAATTATTTACCTATTTTCGTAAATAAAACAAACAGAAAAATAATATTTTAGCCATTAAACTCAATATAGGTGTACATAAAATATTTAAAACACTATTTTTCATTGAGTTTAATAACTAAATTTTTTTTTCTTGTCAGTTTTATTTAGTAAAAGTACGCAAATAGTTTAGATTGAAAACAAATCAAAAGATCAATATCTAAATTGACAAAATTAAAAATTAAGAATTTATTTTGTTATAATAATCAAGTTTTTTTTTTTCAATTAAAAAAAGGGACAATCTCGAAAAAAAAAAGGGTATAAACTTAAAATAATTGCAAAGTGGTGGAAGTATAAGACTTAATTGTACAATCTAATGCATAAATTATTTGTACTTTCATGACATTGTAATTATTTTGTGTTGATACCATTTTTTTTTTTTCGCAATTCTCCCTAAATTTTTCTGGATCATTCAAGTGGTTTCTATTTCAAGTTTTAAAATTTTATAATGCATCACACATCACTTAATAAGAAATATTTGTAAATTTTATTATTAATTTGTAAATAGCAATGTTTGGGAAAATATTTTGTTCTTGTAAAATGCAGGACCTACTGAAAACTGAGAAAGTGCAAGCCATCATTGGGCCATTGACATCCATGCAAGCAAATTTTCTAATTCATCTTGGAGAAGAAGCTCATGTCCCCATTCTTTCTTTCTCTGCAACAAGTCCTTCCCTCTCTTCTCTTCGGAGTCCATATTTTTTCCGAGCTGCTCTAAATGACTCATCTCAAGTACAACCCATAACTTCTATAATTCAAGCCTTTGGATGGAAAGAAGTTGTACCCATTTACATAGAAAATGAGTATGGAGAAGGGTTGATTCCATTTTTGACCAATGCATTTCAAGAAATTGAAATTCGCGTTCCATACAAAAGCACAATTCATCCCTCTGCCAATGATGAAGAAATCGTTGCAGAACTTTACAAGCTCATGACTATGCAAACCCACGTTTTTGTCGTACACATGACTCGCTCTCTTAGTGATCGCTTATTTACCAAAGCAAATGAGATTGGGATGATGAGTGAAGGGTATGTCTGGATCATAACTGATGGGATCACCAATTCGTTGAATTTTTTCAACCATTCGGTCATCATAGATTCGATGCAAGGGGTGATTGGTGTAAAACCACATGTTTGTTAGATAATGTCTCAATGGGACTACATAATTAAATGTGGTGTTATCATTTTTAAGAAGCCTACAATTTAAGTGATTCAATTTAGTTAATAGGCTTAAGGGTATATGTGTTATGGCCCTAATGTGTAGATACTAGTTGTATAATTTCTATTTCTATGAGGGGCAGAAATAGAAATTAAAACATATTGGTTAAAGTTGGTTTTCATTACCTTTCAGTTTTAAACCAATAATGGTTAATTTATTGGTTTTCATTACCTTTCAGTTTTAAACCAATAATGGTTAATTTATTGGTTTTCATTACCTTTCAGTTTTAAACCAATAATGGTTAATTTATTGGTTTTCATTACCTTTCAGTTTTAAACCAATAATGGTTAATTTATTGGTTTTCATTACCTTTCAGTTTTAAACCAATAATGGTTAATTTATTGGTTTTCATTACCTTTCAGTTTTAAACCAATAATGGTTAATTTATTGGTTTTCATTACCTTTCAGTTTTAAACCAATAATGGTTAATTTATTGGTTTTCATTACCTTTCAGTTTTAAACCAATAATGGTTAATTTATTGGTTTTCATTACCTTTCAGTTTTAAACCAATAATGGTTAATTTATTGGTTTTCATTACCTTTCAGTTTTAAACCAATAATGGTTAATTTATTGGTTTTCATTACCTTTCAGTTTTAAACCAATAATGGTTAATTTATTGGTTTTCATTACCTTTCAGTTTTAAACCAATAATGGTTAATTTATTGGTTTTCATTACCTTTCAGTTTTAAACCAATAATGGTTAATTTATTGGTTTTCATTACCTTTCAGTTTTAAACCAATAATGGTTAATTTATTGGTTTTCATTACCTTTCAGTTTTAAACCAATAATGGTTAATTTATTGGTTTTCATTACCTTTCAGTTTTAAACCAATAATGGTTAATTTATTGGTTTTCATTACCTTTCAGTTTTAAACCAATAATGGTTAATTTATTGGTTTTCATTACCTTTCAGTTTTAAACCAATAATGGTTAATTTATTGGTTTTCATTACCTTTTGGTTTTAAACCAATAATGGTTAATTTATTGGTTTTCATTACCTTTTGGTTTTAAACCAATAATGGTTAATTTATTGGTTTTCATTACCTTTTGGTTTTAAACCAATAATGGTTAATTTATTGGTTTTCATTACCTTTCAGTTTTAAACCAATAATGGTTAATTTATTGGTTTTCATTACCTTTCAGTTATGAAAACCAATTACAACCTTTAAAAGGTTATGGTCCCTATTCCTTCCCAAGGTGAAAGATAAGAACACTGTTTTGTTTTTCTAAATCCTCTCAAGGAGAAACATAAGGCACCAAAGGGGAAAGGATTAGAAGGCAATAACATAGTCAATATCAAGGTTTTATTGACAATCAGACGCTTCCGTTTAACCGTTCATCAATGGATTCAGGTATGTCATTTTGTCTTGATTTCTTGATGATATACATGGTAGATGATCCGAAACATGAAGTTTCATGTTCTGAAATTTATGTTAACATGGATTGCAGAGGGTTTTGTGAAAATGTCAAGTACCCAACAACCTGAAGATATAGCCGATAAATATTTGAAAGAACTCGTGCACAGAAACATGATTGAAATAGTAACAAGGAAGGAAGATCGAAGGCATAAAACATGCCGAATGCCAAGCTTTCTTCATGATTTCTTCTTTCAAAAATCTGAGGTTATAGGATTTATTCACGCCCACCATTGCAGAGCGAATTGTACACCTATAGATTCAACTGCTCAGCTTAATACAGATTCACCGGCTGATCAGCCTAATACAGATTCATCTGCTCAGAATAATATAGATTTACTTGCTCAGCCTAATAATGTTTGTTTATCAGATGTTTGTTTTAAAGCCCAAACGAGAGGTCCATCCAACGAAAAAATCAATGAGTTGCTTAAAACAATTATCGATAGGAGGGGATCTAGAGGTTTTGTGTTGACGAGGGTGCTTGATCTAGAAGGTGCCCACAGACCTTTGCTACATGCGAAACTCGGCAAGTTTTTGAGCAACTTAAGGTACATAAGCTTGCGATGGACCGGTATAGACTCATGTCCGAAGTCTATTGGCGATCTACCGTGCCTGGAGACTTTAGATTTGAAGTATACTAACATAACCAATCTGTCGAGTTCCATTTGGAAGGCGAAGAACCTTCGACATCTGCTTATGAACGAGGTGTCCATTCCAAAGCCGTCATCATCAAAACAGTCTTCAACTTCAATGTCCAACATTCAGACCTTAACGGGCCTCCGTATCGGTTTTGAGGACCCCAAAGAATACGGCTTGAACAGATTCACCAGCCTTCGGAAATTGGGACTGACTTGCCATTCAAGATCATCAGTGGAGAAAACATGGGATTGCATCTCACAACGTAACAAACTTCAAACTTTCAAGCTGAGATCAAGAGATCATCAATTCGGTCAGCCTTTAGAGCTCGTGATTCCTGACAATCTGACAATCCATCCGTCTCTCTCAAACTTATATTTGTTCGGAGTGTTCGGAATGTTCGAAGTTCGAAACCTTCCCCAAAACCTCAAAACCCTGACACTGTCAATGTCGAAAATCAAAGAAGATCCAATGCCGGAGCTAGGGCAGTTTCTGCCTCAGCTGAACATACTCAGGCTTTTTGCTGACTCTTTTGTAGGGGAGAAAATGAATTGTCTTGGTGGGGGATTTCCCAAACTTCGTGTGTTGAAATTGTGGACGTTAGAAACCCTCAAGGAGTGGATCGTTGAGGAAGGTGCTATGCCCGAACTTGAAGAATTAGAAATTAGAGGTTGTGAAAAACTGGAAAAGTCACAAGGATTGGAGCGGCTGAGTCACCTCAAGGAATTGACTTTAACAAACATGAAGCGGGAATTTGTAGACGATGTTAAACAAAATCTGGCGTCCGTGGACAGATCGCACATACTACTCACCAACAAGTTCAAGTCTTCAACCACTCTTGCATGTAAGTCTTCTGCTTCTTTTTCTTTCTTTTTTTTTTTTGATGGAAAATTGTTATCTATAATTATATTTCTTATCTTAGTTTCTCATGACGAAACACAAATGAGTGAATTTCACATGCATTTACTAATGAGAGCCTCTTTGTTTTTTGTTTTAGAATGAGAAAAGGGAATAATGAGTAATGTTACATTTATCATATTTTCATACCACATTCAGTATGTATACCATCTCATGTTCAACACATCATTAGTGTAATAAGACCTTTCACTCGTGTCTATTTCCAATGCAATGCACACACATGAGATAGTACACTAACATTGTGTTTGGTTAGAAAATTTGAGAAGAAATTTGAAAAGAAAAAAAAAGAAAAGATAAGTAAAATATAAATAAAATATACTTATATTTCACCTAATTTCACACACATTTTCTCTTTCTTTTTCTAAATCCTTTCTCAAATCCTCTAATCAAACACAGCGTAAATTTCACATAAAAAAATGATAAGTGTTACCATTACTCAATGAGATTATATATAACATTACTCCTATTTAATTTCTTCAGCACTTATATATATATATATATATATATATGTGTGTGTGTGTGGATTTTATTAACAAGTACCCTAAGGATGCATTAAATACGGTTGGCCACATCTACTATCATAGAAAAGACTATAAATATATTTTATTAGAGACTAAACTATTTTTTTCTCCAATTCCTTCTATTTTAACATTATATGTTTTTCATAGAGTTTTTTGCTTTAACATTTTTTTTATCATGCCTTTATTTTTAAATAACATTTTGTGGATTTTTTTAAATATTTTTTTTAAATGTCTTCTATTTTCAATCATAATTAAATTATATGGTGTAAGGAAAATGAATCTAAAAATTAAAAAAAAAATTTAAAGTGCATATAATTTTTTATATTTGTTATAAAAATAAACGGACATATAAAAAAAATTTAAAAATAAACGGAAAAATATATGTTCTTTATTTTCCTTGCACCATATAATTTAATTATGATTGAAAATCAAGGGCATTTAATTTTTTTTAAAAAAATCTACAAAATATTATTTAAAAATAAAGGCATTTAAAAAATAATAAAAAAATTCTATTACAAAAGTATATGGGGTTAAAATAGAAGGAATTGGAGAAAATGGTTGTTTAGTCTCTAGTAAAATATATTTATAGTATTTTCTCTTTTATATGATACTGGAGGTGATTATGAGTATTTAATGCATCCTTAAGTGATGGTATTGAGATATGTATCGGTATTGGCAATATAGTGTCGATATCAATAGTAAATAATAGATATAATGGTGAAATGAGCAATCTCACTTTGTGGTGTAGACCACGACCTCGTTGAGTTAGTGAGAGACAAGATTTGTCTACATAAGTTCATTTACAATTGTTTTTTTTATTGCCCGATGACCCCACGTAAGATGGTGTTACTATTGCACTCAATATTTATTCTAATATCGAACCGAACAACATTAACTAATGATATCGCTATCGAAAGTTCAAAATCCCAATATCAGTTGATATTTAAAACCTATACATATATACCCAGGTGTTATGTATCTAGAAAAAAGAATTAAAAAAAATGTCTAAAATTTGAATGAATGGTATAAATTTAAATTAATATCTCTATTAAAAATTATTAAGTATTCGTGACATACTATGTAACATTGTTTACACGGTGCTCCTCACAAATGAGAAACAACAAAACACACCAGGTGAGTCATTCTATAACTCCGACATGTGATTAGCCTATAATACATTATTAAGATTGTCTAATAAGTAATTAAGATGAAATTCTAAGTTAAATGCATGTGTTATGTGTAATTGTGTTTATATCTATCCATGGTAGGAATATATGTCTATGTTTCTATTTTGGTATGCGAATTAAAGATCTTATCGGTGTCCGAACACGAAACTGATTAGATTAACATGTAATTTGGACTTTCTAGAAATTTATGATAGGTTTAATTGAATCCTAATTCAGAATTAAATAATTATAATAAAATAATTAGCACTAACTACAATTAATTAGCCTAAGTAAACCAAGCCTATATAAGGCCACTTCTAATTCATTCTACACACTTATTCCGTATTTTGAGCCCAACAAAAACGTAGAGAGAGGGAGAGAAGAGAGAACATGGAGATCAAAGCTTGAGGAGGAAGAATTACTTGGAAAATTGAAAGAATTGGAAGCGTAGTTGGAGAATTGGCTTGCTAACTTAAAGACATAGTAATCTAGAGCCGAATTGAAGAGTTTAGGTAAGGATTCAAGCTTTTAGTTGAGTCATTGAGACACTTAACACATGAATTCAAGAGAATTATGTTGATCAATGCAAGAATTGAGTTAATGAAGTAGGAAAGAGGACCATATCATGTATGCATGCATTTTCAACCCATTTTAAGTTTGAATTTCAAACAATTCTTACATGCATGTAATAATTCTAGCTTGGTTTTGAGAATTCACCACATTTCATGGCATTTTGTCTCAATTGATCATGTTTTGGAAGAAAAGAAATCATGTTAATTCATGCATGTTGAATTCATGTGAGTTTCAAGTTTGGTTCTAAAAGAATTGGCATGCATGAAAACAATAGGGGGAAAATGTTAGAAACCAACAATAATGTAGAAAAATTCCTAACATTGGGGTAGATCTGCAGGAGGCGGAGCTTGATTTTGCGAAATGGCTTTCAATTCATGATGTTATACAAGTTTAGACATGATTTTTCAAGTTTTGGCCCAAAAGAAGATGATTTTGTTCATTGGAAATGGATTTTGAACTTTGAACAACAATCTGGAAATTCCAGATTCTGTATCTTCACTTAAGCGACCGAAGTGGCGCTCGAGCAACTACCCTTTGTTTTGGACCTTGACTCGAGCGACTAAAAGTTGGCTCGAGCGTAAAATTCAAGCTCCTAGTATTTTTGCAGACATAAGCCTTCGCTCGAGCGACAGAACATGCGCTCGAGCTACCGCTCTTATCTTTAGACCTTGGCTTGAGCGAGCAGAAGTTGAGCTCAAACATAAAATGAGAGCTCTTAGAAGTTTTGCAGATCAAAGGGTCCACTCAAGCGACAAAAGTTACGCTCGAATGAACTGCCCTGTTTTTAGAATTTTGGCTAAGTGTTTCCAAGTATATTTTGACATCCTCATTGCATCTTAGGCATTCTTAAGCCTTAATTAAGATATAATAATGAGGGTAAAACGCACCAAGATAGAGAAGAAATGAGTTAAGTGTTTTCTGAGCGTGTGTTTCAATGTGTATCCACTATGTGTTTGTGTAGGTCACGCACCATAGACTGTCTGATCTGTCCATTCTGACTGTTCTGCTACTGGAGCTATATTTATGAGTAATAACTCTGTAAAGCTATGTTTGACTTTAATTATTTTCTGATGATATGACATGATCTATTTTCTGAAATACTATTTTCTATATGGGCGAATGATTGTCTAGATTTCGTGACATTCTTTGCATCATGTGATATCTATTATCTGCTCTGTAAACGTATCATATAATCATGAGTCAACTGAACATCTCATGTAATCATGAGTCAACTGTACGTCCCATGTGATCATGGGTCAACTGCTATGGATCCTAATAAACGTCTTTGTGCACATGAGTCAACTATTTACGTCCTATATAAATTGGTTAACTATTCTGTTAATGCTAATGGATGTACCACGTATGATTATCTGTGAACTCTAAATATGATATGAATCTATTTCTGTGAGAGCTCTTAGAAGTTTTGCAGATCAAAGGGTCCACTCAAGCGACAAAAGTTACGCTCGAATGAACTGCCCTGTTTTTAGAATTTTGGCTAAGTGTTTCCAAGTATATTTTGACATCCTCATTGCATCTTAGGCATTCTTAAGCCTTAATTAAGATATAATAATGAAGGTAAAATGCACCAAGATAGAGAAGAAATGAGTTAAGTGTTTTCCGAGCGTGTGTTTCAATGTGTATCCACCATGTGTTTGTGTAGGTCACGCACCATAGACTATCTGATCCGTCCATTCTGACTGTTCTACTACTAGAGCTATATCTGTGAGTAATAACTCTGTAAAACTACGTTTGACTTTAATTATTTTCTGATGATATGATATGATCTATTTTCTGAAATACTATTTTCTATATGGGTGAATGATTGTGCAGATTTCTAAAATGTATTCGTGACATTCTTAGCATCATGTGATATCTATTATCTGCTCTGTAAACGTATCATATAATCATGAGTCAACTGAACATCTCATGTAATCATGAGTCAACTGTACGTCCCATGTGATCATGGGTCAACTGCTATGGATCCTAATAAACGTCTTTGTGCACATGAGTCAACTATTTACGTCCTATATAAATTGGTTAACTATTCTGTTAATGCTAATGGATGTACCACGTATGATTATCTGTGAACTCTAAATATGAATATGAATCTATTTCTGATCTAAATTCTGAATTTTGATTTCTGAATCTGTTACGGACATCATTCATTAAAACCTTTACTCTGTTATCATTCACTAGGATCCAGCTCACTATATTATTAATGTATGTAGATGATCAGGCGCGTGACCAGGGTCAGTGATAATTGCCTGGAGATCAGTTTTGTCAGCCAACCATCGCGCCTCCGGATAAGGTTCCCGAGTTAAAGTGTGGCTGTGATTCTACAAACAAGTTTTAAGTTATGTTTTCTTCTGTTTGTCTAAACAGTTTTGTATACTTTGTATTTAGGGCTAAGTCCCTTTGACTGTATCTGTGTTGGTGATGTAAAACTAACGTAAATATGACGTCACATATATGTATATATGCTTTAAATTTTACGTCACATGTATGTCTGCATAGCTCTATGAAAATTGTATTTGATATTTGCTTTCACCAACCCCTCTAATTTTGTTTAATTGTTCAGAGGCCTTCTGTAATCCCAGAATTACTGACTGGTTACGATGCTAAACCTATAGGGACGGGTTTAGGTCATGACACATTCCCTATTTTTCAACTACATGAGACATGTGAGATAGTATTGTCCCCCCTATTAAGTTTTTCTTACATCATTGATTGAGAGTGCTATATAAACAATGTTACATTAATACTCTTCGATTATTGAATAGTTATCTTTGATATGCACATTTTAAGTTTTGGATATGCTTATATATGTACTAGCGTTATAGTTGTGCTATGCACAGCTTAAAACATATGTTTATTATGAATAATTTTTTTGTTTTTTAGGATTGTCTTTGGAATCCAGAATGTAGTTTTAAATTAAAAAATGCTAAAACTTCTAAATGAATTATCAAGTATTCTACATAATACTCACATAGATCATATCTACATGAGTATTATATAGAATATTTGGTATTTTTTATTTTATTATTATTATTTTTTTTAATTTTATTTTTATTTTTTTGAGATCCCTAGTATTGTTCTTTTAGATTTTACAACTATCATGAAATGAAATTTTATTTTAAATTTTTCATACCTAACATTAATCTATTTTTTAGCTTATTCTATGTAAATATTCATCACAAAAATGACTTAGCTATAGAGAAAATGTTAAGCTATGCATTCAAAGTTTGACTAATTAACACCAAATTTTCATAATTCTAGCATAGCTCAGTTCGACTTGCTTTGAAATTAACAACTTAATACAATATTTTGTCATGTACTATAAGGTAGAATTAAGGTTAATGTGGGGATATATTTTTGAGTACCGACACGTGGCAAGGTGACGCCGATGTATCAGCCGAGGTGCCACGCGGCAGGGTCATAACGCCGAGGTGATCTCGGTCAAGCTGAGGTTATCTCCGAAGATATCGGAATCCGAGATAAGAGATAAGGGACAAGAGTCCTAGAATAAAGAGGAGACTTAGCCAAGATAAGGATAAAGCTCTTAGAGAGTTTATCTTTATCTCTGAAGGAGTCCAAAGTAAGTACTAAACAGGAATCCATAGAAGTCAGGCTTCTAGTGGGATTAGGATTGAGGTAACTATAAAAGAGAGGCACCCCCGTGGGTTTAGGGTACGCAATTTTATGCTCTTGAGCATTGAGTTTAGCATTTTTGATTATCTTTGAGAGATATACTGACTTGATCATCGGAGTGTCCCCGAGTGGTCGAAACCACCACCAGAATCTTCTCTTTCTGTTACAGGTTAGCCAGGTGTCATCTATTCTGCCTGTATTCTCCAGCTGAATATTGAGTTGGGCAGTGTGATCGGAAAATCACTCACACAATTTGGCGCCGTCTGTGGGAACGAAAGTAGAATAGATGGCCAGTAACGGACAAAAGGAAAAGGTTGGGGATGACACTCCTACTGGGAGTGGGAGACCTATTGACCTTGATGGCGAAGGAGAAAGGTCGAACAAAGAAACTCATGAACAAAATCACGGAGCGAAAGACATCGGCCAGACTAGTGACGCACCAAAGAAACCTGATCAAAGCAGGTACTACAAGGAAGACGACCTCCAGGTTTGGAAGGATAGGTGCCTACGGAGGGATGAAGAGGTAAAAGAGATGGCAAACAAATTGGCAGACCTGCAGTCGGTCGTCAATTTCATGATGCAAAATAACGTCATGCAGCCACCATACCCGTTGCACGACAAACTGATTCCAGCGGCCAATACACAGAAGGGAGGGCAGAAAACAATCCCCATAGCCCCTCAGCATAACGGAAACGAAAGACACTCTCACCAACCTTTTAGGGAGGTCGGACAAAGAGGATCAAGAAAAGAAGAATCACAGAGGACGCATCACACAAGGGAGGCAGACCCCAAAGGACATCGGCATGTTCAGGGGCAGGCATTGTGCTTCGACACAACTCACGGAGAAGGGTCAAAAAGGGCTCACCATGAGGCCAAGAGTAGTATACCGAAAAGACTAAAGTCAAAGGATAGCCGAGCTCCTGGGCGGAGCAAAGAAGACTTAAGAGATTACCTCAAAAGGAAGCAACAGAATGCCTACGCCGAGGTAACCTCCCCAGATAAGCCGAGGACACCATTCTCGGTGGAATTAGACAGGTTTGAAGCACCGAAGAGATTTAGTATGCCGAAGTTTCAAATATACGATAGAAAGTCAGACCCCAACTTCCACGTAGGACTCTATTTGAACTCAATGGCATTGTATAGTGGGAATGAGCCGTTGCTCCGTAAAGTGTTCCCCTCATCCTTCGGGGAGATAGCATCAGATTGGTTCCACAAACTACCGAAGGGAAGCATGAAGACTTGAGAAGGCTTGGCCGAGATGTTTGTGGCCAGATTTGTGACAAACAAGCTACAGCCATTAAGGGTGGACGCATTGATGGCTTTGAAGATCAGCAAGGATGAAGGCCTTAGGGCCTATGCAAAAAGTTACTATGAGGTATTCAATCGAATACCCGAATGTAATCAGGAGATGGCAGTCGTATCTTTCAAGAACGGCTTGAAAGACAACTGTCCACTTCGAAAGTCTTTGGCAAAGACATTGTCGAAAAGTATGGAAGAGCTCATGTCAAGAATCGAGAAGTACGCTAGAGCCGAAGAAGACACATCAGGAACCAGGGAGATAAAACAAGAGAAAGGAAATGGCTCACCGAAGCGAGGCCGAGGTAACAATGGAACGAGCAGGCAAGAGGCAGAACTGAGGGCCACACAAACGGTAACAACTGTGTTCCGAATCCCAATTCCTAAATTCCTGGATCAAATTCGGAACCAACCCTATTTCAAAATGCCAGAAAGGACTCCAGGAGAGTTCATGGGGAGAAACATTGGCAGACATTGCGCTTACCACAATGAAGACGGGCATACAACTTAGGGTTGTAGAGCCCTGAAAACATATTTGGAAGGCCTGGTGAGACAAGGACATCTGAGAGACCTTGTCGATGAGACCAGGACAAGGGAAGAACAGGCAAGGTTGCCTCAGGCACCAGCAGCCCCACCTCCCCCAGCACAACAGCCACAGGCAGGAGGACCTCGGATAATCAACGTAATCCACTCGAGGTCAACGAAAACGAAATCCGAGGAGAGACCCAGAAAGTGAAGCACCTACAACATGTCTACCAAGTCGGGGAGAAAAAGACATCGGGCAGAAGAGTGCCAAGGACCAATGATAACCTTTACTGAAGCCGACCTAGAGATGGTCCAGCATCCGCATAATGATGCCTTGGTAGTATCCCTCCAGGTTAGGGAGTGCCAAGTGAAACGCATCCTGATTGATCAAGGCAGCTCTTGCGACATCATGTACGTCCGATGTTACAAGGAGCTCGACCTTCACCCAGATGATATGGAACAATCCAACGCCCAATGGTTGGGTTCAATGGAACGCCGACATGGCCACTTGGAACAGTAAGCTTAGAGGTGCAGGCTGGCACCAGGAAGATCAAGACAGAATTCACCATTATCGACACACCCTCTCCTCACAACATCATCTTGGGAAGGCCATGGTTGCATGCAATGGGGGCAGTTCCCTCAACATTGCATCAACTATTGCGATTTCCAACAGAGCATGGGATAGAGGAAGTCAGAGGCAATCAGCTGCAGGCGAAGAATTGCTCCATGGCAGCAATGAAATCTACCTGCAGCATACGAAAGCCGGAGAAGGCATAAATTGAAGATGAGGACGTGGAAGTCCTAGAAGATGTCGCCAAAGAGCCAGCCGAGAAGAGCGAAGAGGCACTAAAGAGAATCCTCGTCCAGGATGGAAACTTTTTTGAGAGAAAATATTGAGGTATTCGCTTGGACACCTTACGAAATTCCTGGCATTGACCCCGAGGTCACTTGCCACAAACTGAATGTTGATAGGTCGGCCAAACCTATAATTCAACGAGCTAGAAGACCGACGTTGATGCACGTCGAAGCAATAGAGGAAGAAGTAGACAGACTTCTGGAGACCAGGGCCATTAGAGAAGTACACTACCCAACATGGCTATCCAATACAGTGGTGGTAAAGAAGAAGAACGGTAAATAGAGGGTTTGCGTAGACTTCACCAGCCTCAACAAAGCCTGTCCCAAAGACAGCTTTCCTCTACCCAAGATTGACCAGCAAGTAGATGCCACTTCAGGGCATGGAAGAATGAGCTTTCTAGATGCCTACAGGGGGTACCACCAGATAGCCATATACCCCTTAGACGAAGAGAAGACAGTGTTCATCACCCCAAAAGGCCTATACTGTTACAGAGTAATGCCTTTTGGGTTGAAAAATACAGGAGCAACTTGCCAAAGGCTGGTAACCAAAATGTTCAAACACCTGATTGGCCGAAAAGTAGAAGTCTACATCGACGACATGGTCGTTAAGATCAACGAGCTTCAGGGTCATCTTGCCGATCTAAAAACAGTCTTTGAAATCCTTAAAACATATTGGCTCCGACTCAATGCATCGAAGTGTGCATTTGGAGTTGGATCTGGTAAGTTTTTAGGATACCTAGTGACTAGAAGGGGCATCGAGGCCAGCCTAGATCAAATCAAGGCCATCCCAGAGCTGAAGAGCCCGACATCGGCAAAACAAGTGCAGATGCTAACTGGAAGGGCCGCAGCCCTAAACAGATTCATCAGCAGAAGCTCAGATAAGTGCAGACCTTTCTTCAACTTGGTGAAAAAAGCCACAAACTTCTTGTGGACAGAAGAATGCGAAGCTGCTTTGGCCGACCTGAAGAGGTACTTGACCACAGCTCCAGTTCTTTCAAATCCAGAACCTGGAGAGGAGCTGTTTCTGTACTTAGTCGTTTCAGAATATGCGATAAGTGCAGTACTAATCCGAGAAGAAAAAGGGGAGCAAAGGGCTGTTTACTATGTAAGCAAAACCCTAGCCGATGCAGAAACGAGGTACCTACCCTTAGAGAAATTGGCACTAGCTTTAGTAATGGCTTCAAAGAAG